TACGGACTACGGTTTTAGAAAACGGTGGACACCCTATACGGTACTAGTGTACAAACTGACGTGTCAGGAATGACGCTTGTAAGCGACCCCTGTAATTGCTTTATAATTATTCCCGTGACCATTTTGTTGTTCTTGCTGAACGCTGCTCACCACCAGCCCATGTCACACGAACATCTACGGTTCAGAGGAACGTCGCTTTAGCTGCACACAGGCGGTGTAACAACGCGGATTCGTTTTCATTGTTAAGCTCGCAACACGCGTGCCGAATCACATAAGGATGTAAGTGTATTGATTTGGACGTGTTGTAATGGGTGGGGCGGGAGGGGGGGTGTGGAGTGGGTGGCACATTTGTGTGCGCACCTCACTATGAACCCAGCATTCTGAGCTTGATCCCCGGCCTGATTGCTGTCTGCACCAACATCCAAGAACCAGCATGGTGAAGTATGGTCAAACTACACCATTGACTGGCCCAGCGTGGGCAGTTCTTCATCCAGAAGTGGATTGATAAAGTCCCTTGCATGCTGTAGTGGATTTTCTCTCACCCTTGCAGCCACTAAAGGCGTGAAGATTCACCAAAATAGATATAAAAAAAAAGCTAATCGTGAATTGTGAATCACAACAACTCATGAAACCACCCAAAGAGGGGACAACATCTCCGATTCCAACCAACACACACCCACGCTCAACCCCAAACGCTCTACTGCCGCGAGAAATCACAAGTGGTAATACCACGGCGATATCCCTCGTAATGAAGCGGAGGAGGCTCCTTAGTTTGGATCAGACACCTGTGGCGCGCCATCTGTCCAGCGCTAATGCCAGGCCGATAAGACAGGATGTCCGGGATAATCAGAGGGGGGGGGGGGGAATAGCTGCCGCCCCAATGCGCAAGTGTGCCGTGCCAGTCACGCACACAAAGGAGCCGCGAGGGTGGGGGGGGGGCATCGGGGCGCTGGACGTCGGGGGAGCAACAAAAACCACAAAACAAAGAAAAATATGTCGTCAAAGTCTGCGCCGCGCTGGCCCCTGCCTCTCTCGGTTGGGTATGAAAACGCAGATGGGCTCGCGCTCTCGCGTGCGGAGATGGGTCCCTGGTGCAGCCCGTGCAATTGCTCACTCAAACCGCTGCTGGCAGAAGGACCTCTTCCACTAGAGGGAGCTTCTCTCTCTCTCTCTCTCGAGAGAGAGAATTTCCAGATGGTATGTGGCCTACTTTTTTTCCTTGCTGGCCAGATGTCTCGGAGGAGAATATGAACAGCTATTTATACTGCTGGGTGGACATAGGCGGGGAGATTTGGGGTGCCACGTTGCCGGCATGTTAACTACCTCGCCTGGTATATAGGAGGTCGTGGGTTCGATCCTGACAATGACGCCTGTATATTTGGAGTTTGCATGTTCTCCCTGTGGCCACGTAGCTTTTTTTACGGGTCCTCCGGTTTTCCCCTCCACATTTAGTAATTTGGCTACTATAAATTTCCACGTGATAAGCCACTTCTTTGGGATATCATTTGTGACCAAGTCGTTTCTGAAAATGAGCCTATATAGCTCGGTGGGCCTTACCTGGTAAAATAGTTTAAACGTTTTTGTTTTAAAATTCAATAAATAGCTCCATTGTCGCAAAGGCTGTGCCAGAAGTTCGAACTGAACCGGTGACCTCTGGGTTGCAAGTCCAGAGTGCCAGCTATTACACCCCCTGTGGCAGCCTCCCCGATGTCCTGTACCTCTGATTAGGTTATCTTCTGCAAAAAACAAATGTTGAGTCAAGGTTCGTGTCAAGTCGCGGAACACTTTTCGGTTCACGTTACACGCGCTATCGTGCAATGTGCTCAACCTATTTTTACTCGTAATTTCTGGAAAGATCGAATACCCTCCTGCAAAAAGAGTCTTGGGACCCAACGAGGCTTTCTTGGATAAAAAAAAAAACGGTCGCCCATCGGGAGGTTGCGAGTTGAAATCCTTGTCAGGGGTTGGCACAACCCATCATCCCTCCGATGTCGATAGAATGACCAAGGAAGCCGATAACGGCTGTCATATGGAGAGAACTGCGGTGTTCATCTCCAGTTTACAGCCCTGAGCCAGTGGTGGACATTCCACATTCCTATGGTGTGGTCAAGACTGTCCACGAGTCAATCTCTGTTCATCCAGAGGGATGATAGACTGAGTAAACCTCCAACCAGGATTTGAACTCACAACATTCCGATTGCGAGCCGCTTGCTCTAACAACTGAGACACCTGGTCAGCTTGTTAACCAAAAATATATTTCCACACTCACAGAGCAATATACACGCAAACACACACACTCAGAGCAATATACACACACACACTCACAGAGTACTTAGAGAGTAGGTGGCTGTCCAAAGTGCGGAGCAGCCAGGATTAGTTTCGTTAATCATATGCAAACAAAAAAGCTCTCCGTTCTATCGTCTTGGATTTCGGACAGCTGGCTGTGTTGTCATCGTTTCAAAGTGAGTACCATCATCATTTTAGATTTTAAGTTTTTCGCAACTGCAGGGATCCATATTCTTTGGTTCTTTCGGCAAAGTCACATAGGTAGAAAATAAAAAAAATTAAATCACGACGTTTCGGGTGCAACACAAGCGTCCGTCGTCAGGTGGGACAACCACAGCAAGAAACAATTGCTGAAGTGGGAAAAAGGGCTGCCGTGACAAGAGGCTATATAGGTAAGAGAGGGGGAAAGAGCAAGGGAGGAGAGATAGAGAGGGGGGTGTGGGGGGTAGGGGGAGTGGAGCACAGCCAGAGGGATTAGAAGACAAGCAAGGCAAAATGCGGGGGGGGGGGGGAAGTGGGCGGGGTTGGGAGTGGGAGGCTGCCGAAACTGGAGATGCGGATATGAAGACAACTCCATAAAGCAGTTAAGATTTTACCTGGTTAATAAAATCCTTTTGCCTTGCTCGTCTTCTAATCCCTCTAGCAGTTCACCCAAACGCACCCGACCTGCTGATCGACTGACTGTGGCATACACGTTGGCACTGCTGCTGTGTGTTCAGAGATGGGGGGGGGGGTTTGAGAAAACGTGCCCCATTTTTTCAACTGCCGTGTGTGAGGTTGTACCAGCGACCTCCGTATTGCAAGTTGGCTGTCCTAACCGTTGCACCACAAACGCTTCACCATCTTCACCTTTCCCAGCGCTAGGAGTGTGCGAAGTCGCAACAACTCATTGATTACAATTGATTTACGCTCACGCTGCAGGCAAACGGATCATGCGCACAAGAATTGATTCAACTGTGATTTATGCAAATGTAATTCAAACAGTGCGCTAATGCTGGACGCGATCAATTATGCGAACAAAGCAAACAAAACCGTGAACACGAATAAGTAACGGTGAGTACCAACGCAGATGAGAAAGCAAAAATGAGACCAAAAAAAAATAATCTATTTTTAAATCTAATCCCTCCTTCCAATCGTGACCATCACGCACCTGACCGCCAAGCTATCTCGCTCATACCCACACCCGCACTGCACCCGCCAAGCCCCGTAGGTACATTCCTTTCGTGCCACCTCAAGGTGTGTAAAGCACGCACGCGTCTGTGCAAGCGCCTGTTCCGCCGTGTCGGCCTCAGTAGGTGCTCAACTCACGGCACTTACTCCAACAGCCTACGCAGGCAATAAGGGGCAACATCAATTTGTTTTGCCTTTGTCCTGCTGATGAAGCCCTGAATGGACGCGACTTAATGTCCGTGTTCAAGCTCGCTCTCTGGCGTGCATTTGCATGTGGCGCACATGTTACGCGCGCACGCCTGCTCGGGATCCTGGCCGCCTGGATATACAAAGTCACGTACCTCTGCGACCCGCAATTGTAGAACGTGCACATGCCGAAATAACTGCGTGCGTGCGCTGGTGTGTGTGTGTGTGTGCGTGTTGCGGTGGAGCAGTTCGTGCGCCGCACTACGAACCCGGCGTCCAGAGTTCAATTCCCGCACGCGACCTGCCGATGGACTAACTGTGGTGTACCGATAAATACTTCTGGGTGGAGAGAGGCGGATGGGGGGGGGGGGATTTTAGAAACTTGCACAACAGCCACGCCGGGAGATGGAATTGAACTGGCGACCTCCGAATTGCACGCTGACCGTTAAACAATGGTGGCTGTGACCCCGGGGCTGTATGCTATATGGCACGCGTGTGTGTGCGTGAACGCGGCGGTAAGAAAAATATGCAAGTGGTGCTAAGCATTCCGGATTTAACCGCGTAATTAGCAAACGCTTCACGGCAACAGCGGATGGTTAAAGCCCAACTAAGCGATTTCCTTCCGCGGCACAGTTCGACAAGGGACTAGATGCTTTATTGTGTGTTTTGACTTCCAAACTATTCCCAACTCGGGCTCCGTAGGAAACCGATGCAAACGTATCAAATAACGCGCCTCGCTGCGGGGGGCACCAGGGACCTATACAACGGTACGGGGAAGCGTTCAACGCGGGGGCTTTGGAACGTTGCGTTCCTCTGGCTCCGTCGAGCAGCGAACAAGAGCGAGTTTGTCTAACAGTTGGCACCCACGCCCGCTCTCCCTGACGAACGCTGCCTTGGTTCCTGTGGTTTTTCCACGACACTTCGGTGGGCAGTTTCAGCCAAGTCATCTTTCATCTGTTTCGGAGGGTCGAGAGAGAGTGCGTCCGTGCGCGCTAACACAAGCCACATTTGCATGCGAGGTTGGTAAGGCGCCTATTGTGGTCGTCTCTCCCAGCGATCACTTCCCCGTTTGCGGTGCCAAGCATTTCGGTCACGCTGGCGCGCGTACGTGCGCATCACCACCGCGGCTCGCATGCTTGCCGGACCGTACAGGGTGACAACTCAAAAGGTCAAATGTACTCGAGTACATTTAACCTTTTAGAATTTCTGTTCGCTCACTTTTTGTTGTGTAGATGGATTTGCATTGTTGTCGATCGTTGTTGTTTGGCCCGCTTTTGTCCTGGCGCCTCGACACGTGCGTCACGGGAGGTGTAAATAATTCACGATGAAGACGGGCGCACGCCACGGGCGAGACTCACCTCCGTACGCGGAAGGTAGTCCGGGTCGGCCTGTACGCGGGCGATGATCTCGCACAGGATGATTCCGAAGGAGAACACGTCAATCTGTCGGGGTTCACAACAGTCACCAATAAAGGGGCGGGAGATGAGAAACGGGGCTAACCGGAACGGTTGTCGCAACGGCGATCCGTGAGGCTTCACATTACTTAACCTCAACGCCACACACACACACACAACACTGTGACAGGTGCGTGGGACACACAGGAACCTTTCAAGTGTCAACATGACCTCTGCAAAGCAGAGATGAGGTTCTCATCTGCGTGTCACTTTGCATCAGAGCCGGAATGCGATTCCCGGCAGTCACGCAATGCTTTGTTTGGTCGTACGCGTCAACCTTCAAGGTGTTTCGTGGGAGGAATTTTTGACCCTCTGTTAGTGACATACGACAATGTCGCACGCGCATGTGTGTGTGTGCGGAAGGGTTAACCCGTCCCTTGGCTCATTGCTGTGGGTCGAAAGCTTTAAGTATGCACCTACTAACAGCACGGACGCACGCACACGCTGCCCCGTCCTTCCTGCGGGGTCAGGATGCAAATGAGGCAGGGGCGCTGGATGACAGCAGGACTTTTGACAGAAATAAACTGGCTAGTAAATAACCTTTTATGACAAGCGAGGGCTATTCATAGTGTTTAATGACAAAGTATGCGATATTTGTTTGGCTGCAGGCATTATATAAACCAAAGGTAAACGTCTAAAATAGGCGTTCAACAAGCTCGATATCTGTGTGATGAGTTTTCGGGTTTATGGGTTGTAATTCGTGTTGTTTGAGAAGGTCCCGGGCTGCACGTGGAGCGAAACATTGGACATGACGAGCGGTACGAGCCGTAACCACAGCGGGGGAGAAGCCGTACGACAACGCAGGCGCGAAATATTTAACACGGCAAAATAAAGCTCATGCAGATTAAAAAAAAAAAGCCTTCCGATCACGGGGATGTGTGAAATGTTCAACGATACAGATGGCCATTTATTACCGGTGGCGGTTTGGCAATGAAGCGATTAAAGCATCGTTGAGGCCGAAAAGGCTTTAAAAGTTCTCGTTAGCCCTGCGTGCAAGTCAGAAGCGGTGCCAAGACGATAGAAAACTCGAATCGCAGAACTGCCAAGGACTCCCCCCGCACATAACGCTTGGGGGAGAACACGCGAGTGTGGCAGCAACATCTCGCAGTGGGGGACTTGGACTCGCTCAATGTACGAAACGCGTCGCTGGCCTGTGGGGGGGGGGGGGGGGGGGGGCAGGTGAGCCCTAACAAAGCCCAGACAAATACCGAGGTTAACCGAAGAAATTAGATGTTGCATAGGTTCCAGGGGGTTTGGTTGGTGCACATGAGCTGCCGACTCCACGATGAGAGAATAACTCATTAAACGGAGGGCCTTTAACGGTGGTGACAGATAACGAATGGATGACAACGATGCCTATTTACGTAAAGCCTTCACGCTATGGTGGCTATTAAACTAAGTGCGCCAGGCTATAACCAACAGCAATTGCAACACCAGTATTGGTCGTTGTGGCAACCCAGGTCACTTGCAAATGAGGCTCTATGCTGGTCTGATGAGTTCTCACCAGGGTAAATGTATAAAGTCGACTTGGCTGAATTCTATTGGTCCCGAGTGGAATAGGCGCGCAAGTGAGAACCTTCAAACCGTACAACCCACGACGTCCAATATGTATTTATTATTTTAAAGTATAACCCTTTGTCAATACACGTATGGATAAAGGCCTCCTTCTCTAGTTGAATAACGAACATTCCCTCTCGAATGGCTTTACAATATACGAAACTAAATGCTTTCAATTATTTTATTTCCGTCTAAGGTTTTTAGTGCAACTGTGAACATGTTGTAACTGGCGTCACATATAATTTTTGAGTTGATTGATGGAATTACATGTTCCTGTTATGCAATTCATTTTCGCTCCACCTGCGCTTATCTTTGCCCTCGTAAATGAATGAAATGTTTAAGCAGACAACACGCCCCTTTCAAATATCTATCCCTCACCATAAAATTCCATGACAAAGTTAAGCACAACCCGTTTTCACAATAATCGTCAACATGTGAAAGTTGATGTCGTATCCACTTGTGAAAACATGATAAAATTATTGTGCTTACCGTCTCATCGTAGACCTCTCCGCGGAGAACCTCAGGAGCCATCCAGAAGGGGGAACCCACGACGGCCAGGCGCTCCCGCTCTCCCTTCTCACTGGAGCACAAAGACAAAGACACCACCGTATAGCCTCACCAGGACTTCTGGGGCAAGTGCTGTGTGCGATTACCTATGGAATTGGCCAAACATCTCAATGTAGCAAGAACTTACACTATGAGACCTCCTTTACCAGTGGCAAAATATTGAAGATCCCTTGTATAAAGGTGTCAGTTTTTGTACCAGTTGAAAGGGTAAAAACCTATTACTATATTTTGCCACTGGTAAAGGAGGTCTCATAGTGTAAATGCTTACCCCGAGCTCTCAATACTCTGATAGTGCGCTGTTTTTGAGTTGTGCGCCTTTTGGCATCATCTGGTCCCAACACCAATGGAGACTAGGCTCTAAGAAAAGCTGTCTCGGGTGTAGACCAATCAACTTCAAGGACAGTGCATATCATTATCATTATCAGAGTTGCTTCTTTTTGTTTGCATTTTGTCTGCTTGTGTTGTGGTTATTGCAAACATGATCCCTTGTATAAAGGTGTCAGTTGTTGTACCAGTTGAAAGAGTAAAAACCTATTACTGTAGCAGGAACTCTCGTGAAAAATAGTCTTGAGACTCAGCGAGGCCTTCCTTCATATAAAAAGCCATTCTTATGATTATTATAGCCAAAAGCGTTGTGCCAGTGGTCAGTGACCCAAGCATTGCACGCTATCTGGGAGTAAGCGACCCTGCTCCTGCGCTGCCTGGTCCAAATATTTCTTTGGACCCACGACAAACAAATTCCTAAACAATCCCCCACTCGTACCCGATTAGTCTGGCTAAGGTGCTTGGAAAGCGATGGGAAAAATATTGCGCCGTGGGGCCGCGTGACTGTGAAGCCGTGGGCTGTGGGTTTCCCACCCCATGTCCCAAGTAAAGAGGAGACCAACAGCTGTCCCTGGGCAGAGACACATGCCATTGAGTAAAAGTGGTTGAAAAAGACTTACATTATCCTTTGTGTTATTTACAGATCCCCTTTTTGAACACAGGTTTCAAACACATTTCCCACACCTCCGGTTAGCACGGCTGGCAAGGAAGGGTGCGAAAGGCGTTCAACGTACATACAAACATACAGTGGTGAGTGCAAGGTGCCCAGGTATGCAGGTGCATAGAAAGGGCTTCTTGTCAGCGCACGATTGACGTGCAAATATTTAAACTCTCCTCGCAGGGCCTTATTCTTGGCACAAAAACAATGCCGGCGCTCTTGACCAAAGAGGAAATCTTCACACGCCACAAGCGCACAAGAAACTGCTCTCATTGCAGCCGCTGGGTTTAACCGAAGACAGCGGAGGCGGATGAAACACATCACTAGGCAAGTTTCACTTTGTAAACCCGTTGCTCCCGCCACGCCCCCAATTCAATCATTCTTCTTCCGCTAATTCAAGATTTCTGGGGTCGTATTTCCTCGTCGATTTCGGCCTTTTTCTTCACACTCAGCAAGTGCACAAGTAATTCCCAAAACAGTGGCAACAAGTTTAACCGAAGGCTGAAGGGAACAGCTGAAAGACAACACTAAAGAATATTTAACTTATAAATCGTGCTCCGACCACCAGAACCCCAATTCTTTGCAAAATAATTGCAGATTTAATTTTTTTATCATTCTCCTGCCAATTGCGGTTATCTGGAATTATTATTTTTTGCCCCTGCATAGGTTGTGCTGTAAAGCTCTAGAACGCACGTGGCGTTCGGCTTCTATCAAACACCACGAAGCACAGCGCGGAAACGCATCGGGGAGCTGTCGGGGGTGGGGGGGGGTCTCTGTTTTCCTTGTCAGCTTCTCCCATCTCTCCCTTCTCTCCCCGTATCTCTCATCTCTCCCATCTCTCCCGGTATCTCGCGACTCCCCTATCCTCGTCCCAAACTCCACCCAAGGGCAACTCCAGCAATTAGGCAACACCGCGGCCGCAAAATTTTCGAAATCACACTGAAAATGCACCATGGGGTGTATAACTTTGAAGGCAATCATTTATATTTATAGAATACATGGCTCAGTTGTGGAATGCGTAAACGGTTTGACACACACAGGAAACCGAACATACGATTCCAGCGTGCATGAAGAGTCGGGTTGCCCGAGTACGTCCGACACCGCAGTAATTTGAGCACAAATGTGTTGAGTACAGGTCCAAAAGGTCCAAGACGCCAAGGGGCCAGCAACAACAGCACTATTCAACGTGTAATAGATGAGTCAATGTATTTTCTACGAGGTAATTAGACATTTGGGAAATTAGATTATTATGGAGGCTTTCCCCCCCCCCCCCATTGAGCAAGGCTGACATTCTTTGAAACTGAATTCTATGTATGTATATTGAACTTCTTTCGAACCGTACGTAGCCAACCGTTGATTATAATCGGAGGTGTGCGGAATTGGACGTCTTAATTGGTTGATGTGCTGTGTCCAAGTAAGAAGGCACTTCATGAATGGAACGATTGTCCACATCTTTAGTGTCTGAAGTGTATGTCCGGCACCGTGAAACTGCCCTGCGAACATGTCTTTGGGTCCTCCATGAGACTGTCCTATGAATTTCTTATTCGGTCTCTCCTTGACTGTCTCCTCTTATTCCTCTTTTTTTTTTCCCAAGACGTTTTCCCAACATGACCTGCACCCCTTCTCACCCGCCAATATATACACACACAAAGAAATACATGTTAACCTGGTAAAATACCAGATGTCAACTGCAACAGTGGCGGTAAAAGAAAAATCATAGGTGTGACACAGAAACTTGGCAGCGGCGTGAATTGTAGCCTTGTCGGCCGCTCACAGGGGTGACCCTGAACGTAATGTGGGGTTTGACCGAAATCCGTCGCCGCAGCGCTGAGCGCACAAAATCCAGCGGGGGTTCCAATTCCGTGACGAACGTGCGAATCGTCAATTCCACCTCTCCACCTTGGATGGCCCAATACTCCCCGCAACCCCCCCCCCCCCCACCCCCCACCTTTTTTTATCGACGAATATGTCAGCCTGAGATGCAAGCTGGCAGTTGTAGAAGCAGAGGGGCTTTGTGTGAACAGTGCCACTGCTCAGGCCAGGATTAGGGGCAAATAGCTCTTCAGGCAGGGGCAGTGGACGGGAAATGGGCTCTTAGTCACGACTGACCTACAATCAACCTCGGGTCTCGTCCGTGAGCGACACGTCCGAGCACACAGAAGTACGTGAAGCAGAATTGAGACAAGCTAGCAATGCATACATTATCAGAGTATGTTTTTTGTTTGCGTTCTGACCACAAGTATTGTGGTTAATGCAGACATGATTCCTTGTAAACGGTTTCAGTTTGGTGTTTTAACATCTTAAGGTCTGTTTTGTTGCCAGAAAAAAGTGGAAAAAACCTATTATTAAGCTAGCAAAGATTGTTTTATAATTTACAAAATGGATTATCGGGACTGTTCTAAAAGTCACGCAATTGATCATCGCATCCAGTTCATTTTTGGGAACGATCGAACCGATTTGCACACGGCAAAGTAAAAACCGCAAGGCGCGTTGCAATAAAATTGGTCACTAGTGTCATGGGGGCTGCTTGATCATACTTCACCTTGCTGATCATGAGTGTGAATGGAGGCTGCCCAGGACCAGCGCGATATCACTGGCCACTGATGTTAGCAACCACAGCTCAATCCGGACTATTTATAGCGGGGATGTTAAAGATTAGCTGAAGAAATTCGCAAGCGTAGGCCATTATATGCTGGTGCCCAGGGTGCAAATTTTCCAAATTCGAAAATTAACTTACTCAGTTGGGACTATACATAGCAATCGCCCCCTACTGCCAGACTAATTACCTCAGGTCACTCTTGCAAAGAAGACTATCCTGGTTTCGAGTTCTCACTTGGGATAAACATTAATATATATTTTATATCTGCTGACCTTGCTCGTCTTACGTGACCGGATTTCATTAAAACAGATCTCGTGTGTGAGCCAGCCCAACTCTTCAAAGCACTGCTTGGCAAGTCAGACAAACAAAAATGTCATACCTGCCCCTACCCACCTATCACTTGGGATCTTACCTGCCATGTGGGCAGGCTGCTCGACAGCATTGCTCACAGTGACAGCAAGAGAGAGAGACAGACTGGGCATTTCACAATCTCGGTGAACATCATCCCACTTCGCTTGGGCACACAGCGCTGTCCGAGACCTGGCCCTCATGTGGGTGCCCCCACTGCCACTGATTGGATGCACTCTAAAAACCTAATCGTGTGGACTTTATATTAGGCACTGTACGAGTTTATATTACAGATTAATTCTTTTTCCCCCCAACATCAGCAGTTAAACACACCGGATTGTTTCTCCATTATCAAAAGTAATTCCAAGAGACGATTAGTAGCAAACTAATTCAAAAATACATTGGCAATGACCTCTATTGTTTCTGAATACAATGGAATATAGCACAATAAGCAGATGGATAACCCAACGCTCAGTGCTTTTGCCGATAACTCAGTTTGCATTGGTGGGGCGATTTGATTGCCAGGCAATAGGGCAAAGGTAACAAGTAAACCCGTAAAAACAAAGTTTTTCACTCTAAATCCTTTATATGCGTGGCGGCTAGAGTCCTCTCATCCTCTGGCTTGAGATGGCTGCCACCTATGGGTCAGATGATTGTCTGCCAGTATTAAGAAATTGGTAATTAAATATTTAATTTGTTTTCCCTAAACAGTGTAAAATTTTGGAAAAAAATTTTCACGAACATTAATTGTCTCGCACAACGAGTCTGTGTGCAAAATGTCAGCTCGATTGGATGACGGGAAGTGGGTTAAAAAACGACCGAAAGATTTGCACGGTCGTAAGCAAGCAAGCACGCAAGCACGCAAGCAAGCAAGCAAGCGAACTTAATATAAAGGATTTAAAAATGCCATTTATTTACCCAGAAAGACCTCACCGAGTATCAAGACTCTACTGCAGGAAGGGTTTCTGCATTGGGATGTATGGCCAAGCGTGCCGATGAGTGTTTGACATTCGAGAAGAAACAGGATCACCCGGAGAAAACCCACCAGGGCATACGAGGGGGCGACACTCAGCGCTGCTATCTCCTGGCCAACTTTACAACCACATCCTTACAATGCCTGGCAAGCCCCGATGTAACCCACCAGGCTTAAAACAGCTTAGCTTGTGTAAGCTGATAAGATCGATTGCATTTAAAGTGAGTTGGTTATAAGCTGTGGGTCATTACCAAAGTGCCTGCAATTACTTCTTTACTTTGAAGCATGTAATCCTTCACATATACAATACTTCCTTGGCAATATGCGAGAGTTTTCATTGCAGGCTGGGATAGAGCAAGCCTTTTTTTCCCCCCAATGTTCACAGTAAAAGTGTTTCCTGCCCAAATGAGGTATGTGCCACCACTCACAGATGTGTAAGGATTCAAACAACCAGCGATGTTATCAACGGTTGCAATCCAGGGAAACGATTTAATTCAAGAATCCAATGCTTGTTTGCGTCGGTTTACCATCTCATTTGTATTCTCAACCTTTGGCAAACCAAATTAAATCAGTTCCTGAAGCTCAAACAAAGGCAACGCAAAGCGTCAGACATCATGCTTGTGAACATCACGGCGGTAAAACTAAAAAAACACACTGGAGCACGAGTACTGATTTTATCCACCTCTGTAAGTATGATAGACCGAGTTGAGCTCTGACCGGTATTTGAACTGGCAACTTTGCGTGACTGAGTAATCACACACACTCTAACCATGTGGCTTGTGGTTGTACACATAGAGCCCTTAATTAATCCACTGTTGAACGAAGAACCTCCCAATCCTGTGCAGCTGTTGAGTGGAGGTGCGGGAGGTTATTTGACCATACTTCATCACGCCGCGATCATAGAGTGTAAAAAAACAGCAATGTGTCCTGGTGGCGTTATTTACTTGCACTTTGGGATAGTCTCAGCCAGGCCAAAGTCCCCGACGATGCCCGTGTAGCCGCTATCGTCGTACTTTATCAGGCAGTTCTGCAATCGTCAGAAAACAAACGCAAAAAAAAGTCAGACTTTGCACGATCAACTCTGGAGCTGAAAAGCAGAGCGCGATAGGTGGCGGCAGCAGCAGCACAGGTGTGCAGCTGACGTTACGTAACGCGTCTCCGAATTGAATTAGGTGTTTAACCGCAGCGCCGCAACACCTGCGAACACAAGGAGACGCACGCAGGAGCCCCGCAAGACAATTAACATGTCAGTGTCCCTGCCAGTTTTCTCATTCGCCGACGGTTAAAGTTACGCGCCACCGTTGGGAGACAAAAAACACGCAAGTGATACAATGTTCCCGAATCTCTTGAAACGTTGCAGAACATTTATACGAGCGTGGAGTGATCGTGATGGGGGGCTAGGGTTGTCGAAGGAAGATTTTAATAGGTTTTCTTTTTTTTTACTACAGGAACTTGCAAAAAATGTTGTAAAGAAAATAGGAGCAAGCAAACAAACGAGCAAACTCGCCCTCCGGCATTCAAGCACCGCCCACGTTTAATCTCAATACTCCCAGTGGACATTGGGCGTTTTATTATTTTCCTTGCCTTTTGATTGTTCCACCACGAAAACCACTGGGCGTGACAAGGAGCCATGACCCCCTCCCCACCCACAGTCGTTAAAACCACCCAGCGCAACTTTTGTCTGGAAGAGTCAAGACCGCGAGTGCCTGTGAACGCAGTGTCTCTGCGTAGAGAAACGGCCTCATTGACCTCTTAGCCAGTGGCGAGGGCTTCCCCACCCCCCCCTTTGTTGTTCTTAACCACGTCCACAACCGTCACCGGCAATGGTCTATCCACTGCTGGATGCAGGTATCCACGAGCCGTCGCCGTCACGCGATTAAAAAAAATCCATCTCAGGCGGGTCTCATCGCTCTGTCTCCACGGTGGAACTCCCCCCGGAAGCGTTTTCTCTCCTTTGGCTGCCACTCCGTCGTCAGTCTTGACCGCCGGCCACTGCCCCCCTCCTGCTTGGGGCGATGGCATGTCCCCTAAGACACGCCCCTGTCCGATTATAACCTTCGCAACACTCGGATAGCTCTAACTTGAGTGTTTTCTCAGTCCATGTCCAATCGTGCACCTCTCCACGCTCCCTTGCACACGTTTTAGATTCGATTTCCATTTTCTTTGTCAACGACCGTGTTTTTAAATCTACGTCATACAGCAGGTAATATACAAGCTGGTTTTCGTAGCCAGCACAGTTAGGTGTATTTGGTTTTGGGTTTGATGTATGCCAAAATCCTTGAAATTTACAGGTGGGCTTTACCGGTGAGAATCTGATGAATAGATTTGCACGTACAGATAACATCTTTGTAAATGTAACAATCTAGGTTGGGTGGTGGAAAGGTTAACGGCCAAGAATGTTGGTATACAACTACCACGCGAACTAACCCAAAGACAAATATGGATCGGTCAATTTTGATGTCTCTAACCCGCGTACGTTGTAAACCTGCACAGCCAACGCGGAAGTACGAGGCGGCGGCAGGGCCTTCCAGAGCAGACAGGCCCGACGCGATTGATGCGGCATCCGTCAACATAAAACGTGGCCGGATGTGCAGAAAACAAACAGGCGGACCACGCCCTGCTCGGTTATGATAAGGCAACGAAAGGGACTGCAGAAGCAGGCAAATTCAGCTCACTGAAGCGTAGAGGATCGCAACACACACGCGTGCCTGCCCGACAATGGGATTAGATTCCATACCCGACCACGCCCTGCCAACATGTATCCATCCTGCGAGGTAGGCGAACACACGATTTGTTGCCACGCCAACACAAACAGACGCAGGTGCGTTAGGTAAGCGTTCGGCATGTAATGATTCACACCTCCACCACCCTAAAATTAGCCGGGCGGTGGCGGTGCACACGGGACCTCTGCACTTCCAGAGGGCCGTGTGGCTGATGGGATGTGTTAAAAAAAAGAACAATGTTGTTTTTTAAGTGGAGACGCAGGTTACGTGAAGCGGTAGCCCAATTATTCATCTCACTACTTAAATTCTCCACAACGTCCATAATGATTTTACTGCACGCGTAAGCGATGCACCGCTTAACTGCACCTTGGAGGTGAGGTCACGGTGGAAGACGCCCCTCGAATGCAGGTACTTGAGTCCCCGCGCGATGTCCAGGGCCAGCTTGATGCGAACCAACCACGACAGGTACACGGGGCTGTCCAGCAACTGCTCCAGGTTACCCCCGTTGACGTACTGCGAACATAAAGCCACGGGTTACGATGGGCACCACCCACTAAGGGTTCTGGTCGTCACACGTACCAAGGCACAGATCGCCCCGTGTAGCCTATACAAAAATAGTTTGAGACAGTGGTGTTAGCGAGAAACTGTGAAGGCCAGCATGGCACACGAGAGCGTGGGTGACCAACGCCACACCCGGTTTTTGTCTCTCCGGCGGTGAGGTTTAATGCACCGCACCAGGGATGAGGAGACCATTGAGATAGTCGTGGTGCTACCCGCACCGCCGCCCAACCCTGCTCAGCCTCCGAGATCTTACTATTATCCGGTGGCATTCCGGGAGATTTGGTCACAGGCACCGTTTATTCAGAACTCCAACTGTAGCCGTGGTGCAGAGGACAGACGATGACGCACATCGTTGAGGACTGTCTCCGCTAACCAAGCTTAGAGGCGGTCTGAGGACGACACCGCATTCTGAAATTCATGAAGCTGCTGCCCGGCTTGGCGCGAAAGCACAGGCGCTCAATTAATAAATAAAATGCCGAGACATTGCATTCAGGACGTCCTCGCATTATCGGTACGCTCGCATAAAACTGCACACAGATTGCGCAATTCAGACTGCACACCGACTACAACCACTCGCACGCACTCTACCCGCCACAAAATACCTTTATGCGCATTTAAGTAAGACGCCCGCTCGACCATTTCATTCATAATTGATAATGGCATACCATTACTTGAATGTACAAAGAGAAAAAAACCTTCGGTTGAAAGGCAAGAGTTGAAAATAAGAAACCACCCCAGGCAATGAAAACAACGATGTCACCGAAACATTTGAGGACACCCGAACGCGACCCGAGCCTCGAAGGCAGTCGGCAATGAAGCGCGACGACTTCGGTGAAACGTCACGCTGCATCGGTTCAAATCCAGCGGCCTCCATCGTTATTACCGCGGGCGTAATCGCCGTAATCATACTACCCTGGCCATCCGCTGGACAGCGGACGTTCAAGATGCCCACGACGTCATTTGCAAGATGGCACCAATGATCCAAATTTGTTGAATTCTAAAATTATTTGCAAAATCACTCAATTCGGATTATACACAGCGATCGTCACCCTCAACTGACAGACTAATGCCCCAGGTCACTCTTGAAAATGAGAGTCATCCTGGTCTCTGAATTCTCACTCGGTTAAACAAAATGAATTTGAAGCCCTGTCCCCATCATGACAAATTGGAAGGCACAGTTGAAGCCTGGAGTGTAACGAAGCCCCGTGGCATGTTAGAAGTGCATGCGTGTGCAGCCAGCAGCTATACTCAAATGACCTCTCTACGGGCGGGGGGATCACTCGCTCGCTCACACACGGCACACCAAAAAAAATGCACATTTGCCACCAGTGCCACAAACGAAGGATTTTTAAAATAACTCGAAGCAGCAGGTCATGAATACACAGGCCTACTTATTTACAATTAGCTGTTTTTGTTGCTGTGGTTGTGTGTACAATAAGCAGCCAGTATGTAAACATGCATTTTTGTGTGTATGGATTCATGGTTGGTAATTTAGTAAATGAGTGTTATTGATATAAATTCACATGCACAAACACGATAAAAAACTAAATATCATAGGTTTACAAACTGTCACCAACTATCACTGATCAGTGTGGTGAAATATGATGAAAAAGCCTCATAACTGACATGGAGTGGTGGTACAGCCTTCATCCAGCAGTGAAATTGCCAAAGTGCTGTAAGTTCTATATATTTGCATATATGTTGCGTGCAATTGGTTGTCACATGACCAATCACATTGGTCATGTGACAACCATTGGTCACGTGACAACCATGACCGATGTTTGAACGCTCTCGCGTACCAATCGATTACATTGTTACTCAGGTTGAACCAGATTTGATTATCAATTCCACGACTTTTGGAGCTGAAAATTATTCTGTAAACAAACATTCAAAAACTCATAAGCGATTAACAACCCAAGCTGCAAGTATGTTCTGAAACACGCCTACCCAACCCCTCAACCAATTTTAACGACGGTGGGGTCATTTGAAAGCTTATAATAAGTAGCTCATGTGAGCGACATCGAATTTATATTTGATCACTTTGATAAGTGGAGTGTGTGTGAAGGCGGGGGGAGGTGGTGGGGGTGACTTGCAAAAGGCATCCTGCAACATTTAAGAAACTGGTGAGGTTGATTTGAATGCTGGTGAGTAGTGGTGTGTGTGTGGGGAGCGGTAGTGTAGTGGTTAGCGTGTGGTGTTACGAACCCGGCGACCCGAGTTCGATTCTCGCTCTTGGCCTACACCAGTGACTATAATCTGAACCGGTTCTGGGGCGTCCCCTAGGTCGACTCAGCCTCAATTGAGAAGCTAGTGCGATGTGTCTAAACTTTGTCACTGGGGAGACAAAGGTGGCTGGGCATGGTGCTGGTCACCCACCTCCTTGTGTGCCGTACTAGCCTTCATAGGTACTCGCTAACAGCACGTGCCTCAACAGTCTGGTAAGGCTATACGGGGGATCTTTTATCTATGTGTGTGTGCGTGACATCGGTGACGAATGTCTATTGAGGGGTCAGGTGAGTGTTATTCCAGTGTCACCTGACCCCCGTCTGTAGGACGGGCTACCCACTCACGACATTCCTTCTGTGTCTCACCTCCGTTAGCGCGTGCAGCTGTCCCTCGTGAACGCAAACGCCCATGTACCTGCAAGGAAAAGGGAGATGATACCAAGTTACAGTGGTTTATACAACGATCGCATAATAATGATAATAAAATAGAGAACTTTTGTCAGGCCGTTGCCGCCTTGTATCGCTCACAGAATGCGCACGGCCCTTAGGATGTGCGGTACAACTCGGTAGCCTGACCATTATTCGGAAACACGACTTATCTTAATGGCCAGGGCACAATGACACAGACCCACACACGGCGATCAGTTTGAAAAACGAGCACGACTCAAATGTTCCCGAAGCCCATGTGGCTCAACCATCCCCATGAGATTATGCCGCAGTTTCGACAAAAGCCCAAGAGAACACACAGACATCATTAGAGGAAAAAGGGACACGTTCAGAGTCCCCCCCGTCAGCTTACGCCAGTTCGAACCGCTGAAGTGAAACTACACGGCAATTATTTCGTACTTCTTCACGTTGCCCCCCTCCACTCCAACGCAGCGCATTTCCTTATTGCGGTGCAAAGCAGCGGACATTCGACATGACAGCACATCACCTTGCATTATTGTGGAACGCACGGGAGGGCGGCGGTTCTGTACGGCTTTGTTGGCGGCGTTAACCTTTCCCGGTCTTCGGACAAGGCAGCCAAAGCCCCCTTTTGTTCACCGTCCACCGGGGATACGAATATCCGGGGAAATGATGTGTCAACGCTTATTTAAATCCCCAGGCGCAAAAAAAAAAGTTCACAGGACCTCCCAGGACCCCGGCCAGTAACGCTTTAACGCTGGTGCTTTAAATACTTCTCATGAGCGAAAGTGAAAAGGTGTCAGTTCTGGAGCCTTCATGGGAAATGTATTTTAATTTTCAGACGGGAGGGATTTTACAATCTCAAAAGAGACCATTATAATCTGAAATGTTTCATGGACACAAATTGTTAGGCGTTACACAACAAGCCCTCTTACTGCATTAATTGCCGGCGTTTCCGAGACAGGATTAGTGCGGAACACTTTAATGCCGCTTATTAAAGCAAATGTTAACTTTTCAAGTCGAGGAAAATCAAGCATGAATTTGGATCCATATTAATTATTGCCAGTGGGACCCAAACTAATTTATTCCTAACGCAAAATTCAAGTCCCACTTATAGCGATTAATAGTCATATTTTAATAAAATAATTAAAATTAATAAAGCGCACAATCGTTCTCAGGGCGTTAATTTACAGCCCCTTTATCAATTCCCCGGTGGATTAAAGGCCTCCCGAGCAGAATGTATCGGTCATGGAGAGTGGGGTGGGTGGGGGCGTGGTGGCGTGTAACAACTCGTTCACCGACGTTAGCCATGGCTGGGAATCTAACTCGGGTTTGTCGTGAGTTCACGGAGCGGTGCCCTATCACTCCGCCTCCGAGAATGTGCCATCAGTACGTACGCTGTTCAGACAAAACCTCGTATTTGTAAAGTGCTTCGTTTCAGATCACGACCTGCTGTTGTTGTTTTAAAGGATGCCGACCTATTCGTCCGAACAAACTGGCTGCAACTTTACATTGTAAAAAGCAAAAAAAAACGGCTCGCCTGTGAAGGTCATTCAAACCTTTTACCTTCTGGGCCCTGCCGTGGTGTGGGCTGCATTGCATCTTTTGATCGGCAGCCGGGTTACTCGTGCGATTGCACTGGTTGTTGAACATTGTTTAAAGCACCCAAAACCATGCACAACTGGGTTGGCCGTTTTGAATGGCAGTTTTTTTTAATGTATATTATAAATAAGCCGGATTTTGCTCTGTCTCCGTACACAAATAAATAAATACACACCTGGTCCATCATCCTGTTGGCTTTGCCGACCAACATTATCAGGCTGCATGTGCTTCAGCAAACAAATCCTGGGCTGGTTTTGACCTTCTGAGTCTCATCAGCAAGGGATCACCAGATCATACTGGTAAGGGTGGCAAAACTGAAATGTTGGGGCCATGTTTAACCCAAATAAACAATAATGAGCAATAATATAATAAAAGCACACATGAGTTTGTTATGAATTAGCAGGTGCTATAAGCATGCAAGTTTTTTGTTCAGAACACTTGCATGCCACACGAAGGTGGGAAAGTATGGTTATCTTAAAGCTGCCTGGATTTCGTGATATTCAACTGTTCACTATTTATATACCCTACTCAACTCTCAGGGGAATGATTGCAATCACAGGAAATGGCAGGTTTGAAGGGGGGGGGGGGGGGACGTCATCTGTTACATGTTATGGCCGGCGTTACACAATGAGCCGTAATGTACACAGAATATGTCGTCAAAGCGTGACCGTACAAATTCAACACAAACACACCCAGGCGTGAGCAATAGTCGAGTGTCTAAAACTAGGAGGGCTACGTCAGTCACCAGGACGGTACATTCACATCCGCGTCAAGAGGTGGGAGGGTGGGGGTCTATACGTGAGTGCAGGACACAGGCACGCCAGTAGACCCCCCTCCCTTCCTACAGATGACAACGACAGCAAAACAAAACAATTACCATTGAAACCCCCCCGCCACCTCCTACGCATTCCACAAGAGTGACTAATATCATATCTGCATTTCCCATAAATATGCTAAATTCCTCTTGATATGCAAATTCCTTTGTCAAGGCATCCTTCCCCCTTTAACCCAGCTTAAATATACGCTGCCAAGCCTGGTGGTGCTCATTCAGACGCTGTCTTTCCGACAGACCTGTTCTTCACCTGAGGACGGCTGCTTGCGTTGTGGCCGAAACGTCGTGAGAATTATTTTATTATGTTTTATTTTTATTATTTTAACATTTCCCTTCTACGTGACTTTACCGAAAAAACCAAGAAGATGAATCCCTGCAGTCACGAAAGCTTTAAATCGAAAAATTAACATTCAAAAGTGTTCAAGTGACCGGGGGCATCCATGCAGGCAGCATTGTGCGCGAGTTTAAAACGTAGGCCTTCGCGGCCAATATTATCTGTAATAAAGGTTTTTTTTGGATTGGATTGGATCGCGTAAATATAAATGTCTTTAACCCACCACCATCCGACACAGCCAATTAGTAGGGTTTGTCACTTAAACAAAATGTGACAATTAGTTACTACTTCTCAGTACATCAGTGTGTCGGAGAGTAAACCCACAACATTAACAATTCGAGTACGACGTTTCGCTGGTGATTCCAGCTTTATGTATACGTGTCACTATTTGGGGAGCGGTGGGATAGTGATGAGCGCACTGCACTATGAACCAGGCAGCCTGACTGATTCCTGGCCACGACTAACATCAGTGGTGAGTGATATCAAAACCAAATCCGAGGGCCTCACTTAGTTCAACTCAGCCTCAAAATGAGTACTTGGTACACCATGTAAACATTGCCATGGGGGGTAAACGGTGGCTGGGCGTAGTGCTGGTCACAAAAACCCCTCTCTTGCATGTGGTGCACCGGCCTTCTTCCCACTGGCGGTGCCACGGTGGCGAGATGTTAACTACCTTGCCTGGTATACAGGAGGTCGTGAGTTTGATCCCAACCCGATGCCTGTATATTTGGAGTTTGCATGTCTCTCCCCGTGGTCGAGTGGATTTTTCTCCAGGTCCTCCGTTTCGTCCCTCCAAATTTAGAAGCATGCCTTTATAGAAATCGGTTGCTATAAATGTCCACACTTCGTTGAGCTATCATTTGTGGCCAGTTCGCTTCTGGAAAAGAGCCATATAGCTCAGTTGGCCTTACCTGGTAATAGAAAAAATAGTTTAGTTTAGTTTAATTGAGCCATCCAGGATAAATGTGTGCAGCATGTTCTGCCGACCATGCCTGGCTTGAGATCGGTTCAGCCTTGAAGAACTATCATGCGAATGCTGACTCTTAGGGTTTGGCCCGGGAAGAGCAACCAATTGCGGTCGATTCCCAGCAATCGTGGAACTGTGCCAATGGAAGCTCTTACAAAGCAACCGCCGATAAGTCGTCTCCTTGTCATTTTTATCACTACCACCCTAATTACTGTTCCCGTGAACTTCGCTCGTTGATTCTTCCACCCGTGCAGATGACTTGTACTACAAGACTGACTGTCCAGTCTTATCCACAGTGTTCAACCTCGTCCACACTGCAGGTCACAACAACAAACTCATTCACCCACCCACTCACTCGCCACACTGCAGGTCACAACAACACACTCACACTGCAGGTCACAACAACACACTCACCCACCACACTGCAGGTCACAAAAACACACACACCCACTCACTCACCACAACGCAGGTCATAACACTTTTATTTCCACTTCTTCCCTTACACTTTTAACCTTTGCTCAATTGGAAAAACAATTCACTGTTATTGGCCACATAAATAAATTGGAAGCGCTAAAGTGAAGCCACCTCGGGTGGTGCCGACAAGTGAAATATCTGGTCTAGTCTCACGGACTCGTATAATAATCGCCTGTATGCGTACACGCGCTGCACCTCAACGGATGCAGGGTGTGGGGGTTCGCGTACCCGAGAATGTTCGGATGAGAGAGTCGGTTCATGAGCTGCACTTCACGGAGCATGTTGCCACGGTTGCTGCTCAGGATGTTCATCTTCAGCACCATCACCTTCCCCGTGCCCTTGTCTCGCACCTGAATGGACACACACGTTAATCAAAGGTCATCATGAATGCAAGAATAAAAGATCCCCACCGTGCAGCCTCCATAGGATGGTGGTGGGGCGAGCGCTGTTAGCGAACACCTATGAAAGCCGGTTAGGGGCAGGCATGCGTCAGGTGGTGTGGTCAACACCACGCCCGACCAGCGTCGGTATACCCAGTGCTGACGTTTACGTCTCACACCGGGAACTCCTTCAAAGCCAAGTCTATCAAGTGGCTCTCTAGAGCTCCCCCGAGTGGAGGCCTTTCCGCCAGCAGTGATGTGGAGCAACACATTCCATGGCTGCACCCTTATCTCAAGAGAGGAGGCTCACGGCCATACTAAATGTTTTCCACTCAAATGGCTCCAGACTTGCACCTTAACCTTAGGTACATAAAAAAAGGTGCATTCAGATGTTTGCCGGCGATGTGAGCCGTGGCCGGTAATCAATCTCAGGGTCGTTGGGATTGACAGCGCGGTTGCTAACCACAATGCCACCGCTCCACCCAAAGGTCAGTGGGGGTGCACACATACTCTCTCCGCAACCTGGGATGATTGCTAAAGTTCCCACTCGGCCTGTCAGGAGGCAGCGGAATGTTTACAGTCGCTAAGCAAACAAATAAGTCAGAATGCACCGTGTTAATTTTTAGAAACCACAAGGTTACTTATAACCCCGAATGCATTCAATTGGAGGGCGTTTTTTAGTGCATTCGAGAAATATTTACAACACCGGGTGTATCTGAAGAGGTTTATAGTTTTAAAGGTTGGCCATGACAATAGTTCAATGTTCAGTAGGAAGTTTCAAACCGAGCACTACGATCCTAATCCAGGGTGCACAGTGTGCGACACTGTGCCATCTCGTCTTGTCTACGTGCTATAGTTAAGATGGGATGACGAGGCAAGCCGTTTTTTTTCTCTCGTCTTGGCCACATTAAAATGTATAACTTAGCTCCGTGTAAAAGCGATCATTTATCTCAATCGGTTCTTACCTGCTCATGAATAAAGGGTTGTACGATAGCGTGCCTTTGTATATTACTCCAAGACACACCTAGCCCTCCACCTAAGGCGCCTACCAAAACCAAGCCAAGTATAAAACGTGTCTCGTGGACATTCACTCGATAATAACAATATGACAGTGTCATTTATTTTTACAAGAAAGCCTCACTGAGCCCCAAGACTTATTTAAGGATGGCCCTGCATTGGGGGACGTTGGGCCCATTCCTCTTAAGGAGCGCTTCTGTATGCTAGAGAGTTCCTGAACACAAAGAGAAAACCCCCACGCACAAGAGGGGAATAACAAAGGTTCAAACATGTCGCACACCTACTTGCTGTACTGACAAACTCTTGGCTCCTTCATTAGCTCAATAACTTGTTGGGCTATTGTGGTAATGACACTCAAAGGTCCGCACAGATGGGCTTATAAACCAATTTGTTGTACAGTGCAACGTTGTATATCAGTAATGGACAATTAACCACTCACACCCCGTGCGGTATTTGTGACTGGAAAAACGAATTTCTACAGATGTTCACAAATCCGATCTTTTTACATGCGCCTATGCCTGAGTGTCCTGTACTACAGATATGCGACGTTGTACCATACTTCCATTGCATGGCCAACTCAAAGCCCTCCGGGGAGGTTTTTTTGATCATTTACACGCAATAAACCAACCCTCAGTCTCCGAATTGCTGGATTTGACTGGGAAGACGATGACCAAATTGATTTACTGCGTTGTGCATTGACACTTCACAGCAATGGAATGTGTGCAGTGCCATAAAAAAGGACCTGTACTAGAACACAACCTTTGTTTAAACGTTTAGCCACATTCCACCATCGCAATTAAATCTGAAATCGTAAAGCTTTTACAATCTCAGCTCTCAAAGGGTGCCAAGGTACTGCAACAAAGGTACACAAAAGTACGCAAGCATTCATACAAAGATAAAGATCCTCCCAAATAACCATAACAGACCATGGGGGCAAGTGTTGCTAGCAAGCGTCGAGAGGTCGGCACGGCACAGCATCACGCCCGGCCGCCTTTGTCTCCCCAGTGGTGATGTGTACACACCACACCAGGTATTCATTTAGGGCTGAGAAGACCTAGGCGAGGCCCAGGACTGGTCCATGTATTAGCCACTGGTTATAGGTGGCGAAGGGGAGTCGAACTCGGGTCACCGGGTACGTAGGGTAGTGCACTAACCACGACACTACCGCTTTCCACAATACAGTTATGTACACATGACATTTTTGGTTTGATTAGTACAGAGGCCATAACCATCCACAGGACAAAGATGCAGTGCAGGCCACACACATCAGGGGCATGAAGATAAAGGCTATAAATGACCTATATTATTTGGGTCTTTCGGTAAAGTCACGTAGATAGGTTCAAAGTAAATAATTAAAAACGAATAAATGACCTTTAAAGGTAAGCATTTTTTCGTAAAAAAATCATGCGGAAAATAAAAATAACACATTTTAAGATGGCACTGGGTAGGCGTTTAAGGCCGTGTACTGCATGGTTCCGAGGCGTTCACGTGTGTGCCCGACTCACGAGTCGTCATGCCATGTGGACACAAGGCTTACAACTGCACTTGACATTGGGGGGGGGGGCTCTGTCCACACCACCCGCTAAGCCGGACTCTACCGACAACACGGACGACTGTACACCCACTGGAAAATAAAATATAACATCCTGGCGGTTGAGAAATATTATTTTGGATGCATACCATATTCGTTTTTAAACAATAGACACATGCATGAATGTGTGGAATTTTTTTGTCATACCTCAATTAGTATGTATTATCGTCTTTTCGACAACAACTGCCTGAGGAAAATTTGCTGCATCTTCTTGCCAAACAAGATTTCACACCGGGACCTGTACATCAAGACCAATTCAAGATGCACAACGCGGGACGTAACAGAGAGAAGGCTCAGGTGGCTGGGACATGCGCTGAGAATGGAACCAGAGTCCATAGCGAAAGCTGCCCTTACGGTGGACACCACGAGGGAAAAGACCACGGGGTAGGCCGAAGACCACCTGGCGACGCACCGTTCGAAACCAACTAAAGACCATGGGGAGCCTGTCTTGGGGTCAAGCAAAGAAAGCTGCTCAAGACCATCCGGCATGGCCATGGGCTTGTCGCGGCCTTACGCTCCACATGGGGTGAAGAGGCATAAGTAAGTTGTCTTTTCGAACCATTTCATAACCTCCAAACTCGGAAAAAAGGTGGCCTACGTGTTTCAAATCAAACGTGTATTTGTACAGATATGGTATTGAAAGCAGCTGCCGCCTTTGGATGGTTTCGTTACAGCACAAGAATCTAAATAAGCATGCAAAACCACTACATAGGAAAGTCAGTCATTGATTAAATTATTTATGTGGAGGTCGCCTCAAATAATCCATGTATAACACACGATCAAAAGCATCAAATAAGGTTTTAAATAAAGCCTCTGATGGATGAAGCCGATTTTATCAATGGCTGATAAAAGGCGGGTACAAAGGTAAGGCCTCCTCTATGCCTCTGTTAAGATTAGATTCTACAACGGGTCAGTCTTTTACAATAATTATATATTTTCCCCCTCATTTTTTCCTGATAGTATTATCGGCGTCACGTGATTATTTTTTGTGCAGTCATTGATGACCGGCCTGACACCATAAACTCACTCGTGACTGTACGACAACAAAATATCACATGATGCTGATATCAAGATAGTATATCATTATTGTTAATTTAATTATCAGTAACTGGCGGTCAGGCTAACCCTTTCAACCCACTACACTTGAGAGCCAAGTTCAACGGCAGGTGATTGAAACCTGGATTTAAAGCCAGAGGTCAGCACTGTGAACAGATGTCATCATTCTGACCTCTGAACCACCAAGCTACCTTGCTAAAAAATTATTTTACGCTCATTTTTATTTCCAGTCCTGTATATTCTGCGTCATTTATGCTTTGTCATCAGCTCCGTCGTCATTCAAACAGCTTTTCATGCAATTCGATATAAGTCGAATTAATAGTACATTACTGAACCCTATGTCCGCATTGAAATACATTACGGTGAGCATAACACTCGATTTTAACCAACGCATCGATGAATGTGTGTTAAAGGCTAGGGGGCTATTTTGTCATCAGAGGCCAGTGCAGCAGAATGCGTTGTTGTACTGTACTTCTATGCTCCAGCATCTATGTTCGCCACCTTGGTGACCAGCTTAGTGAAGCATGCTCAAATGACCTTCACGACCGCCAGGACATGGGGGAGGCCCTCATTCAGCAGTGGTTGAAACAAGGGCTGTACATGTACATATAGGATCTTGCAAATCACAAAAAAGCTAAATTATGTTTGTGCCTGCATACCATTTATTTGTTCATCAGCGTGGATCGCGGCGACTCGCGTGACACACGACCACGGTTCTTTTATAGCGTACAAAGAGATCCGCTCGCTTTTTATTTCTACTCTACGGCCCCGTCGAGCAAACCTACAATGGTCCAGGATTTATCTAACGTCCCTAAATCCCCAAATGGTGAAGGTTCAGAACGTTTTGCGAACACATTTTCTCAACGCCCAACATTAATCATCCACGGTGCACATTTACCGTGCCCCCCCTGCTTACACAAACCAGTCATCACCCAACTTGAAATCAAAAGTAATCCGGCGCTTTGGGGGCCCCGTGAGCGCTTTTGGGGCGGATCAAATACATTTCTGCAACTCCCAAAGCCGCCAGGAGCTGCAGGATCATGTTCATGAACAATCCACCGCTGCTACTGGGCAATAGCCTCCCTATGCCGTCTGGTTACGGTGGGGGGGGTGCATGACCATATTTGACCAGGCTCTGCGGTGCGGGTTGGCGAGAGGCGGGCGGGGGGGGGGGGGTGTACAGACGTACCGTACACAACATCGCGCCAACAGCAGCCTTTAACGCCTGCTATACGCATGGTGGTCGCCCATCGAAAAACTAGCGAGGTTGACACCAGTTTCACTGCCGCGATCTGACGAGATGGGG